CGTCGTCGAGGAGGTCCGGATGGACCCACATCACTTGCCCTGATGGCAGAGTTTGTGGAACCAAACCCTTCTCCCGCTGGTTGTGAGGATCGTCGTTAGTGATCTTCAAAACCGCCTTGGGGATAGGAATTATCCCCGCCAGAGCTTGAACCTCCGGGAGACCCGTCCCAAAGCTCAAAGTGACCATGTTCGCCGTCACCTGCTTTTGGACCTTCTCTTTCTTCAAAACCCCCGCGTCGTAGAGGGCCTGGAGTTTGTCCTTGAGGACGTAGCACTTGGTTGTGTGATGCCCAAGGAATCTGTGATATGCACAGTAACCTGGGTCACCGGTTTTGTCTGCCTCTTCAGGCTTGGTGGCTTCCGGTAACTTAATCCGCCCACTCTTGAGTAGAGTGTCGAAGGTAGCTACCACCTGGTCTTCTTTGAAATCATATTTCTTTTCCCCTCGACCAAGGAGGATTCTTTGGCGCAGCTGGCTCCGCTGCTCCCTTTTTGGACTGTGGCTCTTCGGCCTCCAGCCTTTTGATCATATTTTCAACTTGCTCGCCTTGGCGAACAAGCTCCTTCCAAGTCCGGGTCTCTACTGCCCCAATCTTGGACAGGATATGGATCGACAGGTTGTTGCGGCACATCTCAATCAGTGTCACCTCGGAAACTTGGTCCCAACAGTGGACTGGCCGATTCCGAAATCTTTTTACGAAGTCGTTAACCGACTCCGACTTCCGCTGCTTCTCAGCGAGGAGAGTGGCCATCGACACTTCTGTGTCGTCGTCGAAGAAGCGGGCGAGGAAAAGCTTTTCAACGTTGGCCCATGCCTTGATAGAGCCGGGCTCCAGTTTGCGGAACCATTCAAAGGCTACCCCCTTGAGGGTACCTATGAATAGTCGAGTGAGAATGGCGTCGTTTCCGGTAAGGAATTCGGTCTGCATCATGAAGTAATAGATGTGCTGCGAGGGTGACCCCTTGCCATCAAACTGTACCAAACTGATCGGCTTGAACTTCGCTGGGTATGGGACCGTGTCCCATTCGATAGGGTAGGGACGTACCACCCCCAGCTTGTTCATGTTTTGCTGAAGCTTCAACGCGTTCAGTTGGTCCTGGAATTCGTCGAATCTTTTGTCGCAGGTGCTATCCGCGGTGTGCGACGTTTCTATCGATGTTTTGGAGGAGTAATCGGACTGCCGATCATCCTCTGTCTCAGCCGCTGGTCGGTGAGGAGGTACCCACTCCTTGTCCCTGGTTTGCCGGGGTAAGGGACGTTGGGTCCTCTTCTTCTTCTTCTTCTTCTTGTTCAGCAGTTGCTCCATCATCTCTCTTAGAGAGTCGATGGTCGCCTGCTGTTCCTCCAGTTTTTGGGCCATTGTTTGCTCGGTATCGAGTCCGGTCATGTGCACTCTCGCCTGCGTGTCTTGACTTGAGCGCGAGGTCTGAGATGTGGCCGCTGCCGAATGAACCTCGTCTTTGCCGCATGAGGGAGGTACTAGGGTGAAATAGTCAAACCCAATACTTACCCCCCTGCGACTACGGGTTCGCTGGAATATGCCGTACATACAGTTGGCAAAGTTACTCATTTTTATCCCGACAATCAAATTCCCACTTGGAATGCGTTAAGTTTGAAGTCAATGACAGAGAAGGAGGTAGCTCTATTGGGCGAGCTAAATAAAGAGATTCCAGACCCTGCATTGTTTAACATACGCATAATAGATAGCAACGATGCTTTTGTACATAATTTTAGGATACCATTTGCAGTAGTTGCCAGACTCGACAATGCTCAAAATAATTGTCTAACCAAATTTTGCTCCCAAAAGATTCACTGTTAAGTTTTAATTGACTATTTATGCAAGCAATAATTCGTCACACGTTAGTCCTAATTCATGTTAGTTCTAATTTTCAGAAGATATGATGTTATAAAATTATCCAATAGTAGTATTAACAGAGAAGAGTGGTAATGCTTGACATCTCTACCCTAGGCCGTGATACCTAAATATGGGTAATGAGTATCTGATACCACTTGTTGGAACTAGGATGCAAGCCTAGAGGGGGATGAATATGATTGCTACTATTTTTCGATTAACTTAGAAAAATCAGCAAAAATAAAATAAGTGAAAACTAAACATGAACACATGAGATTTTTATAGTGGTTCAGATCAAAATTCAATATCCTCTTCCTTCTCATGAAGGGCATTCTTCACTGTGATCAGAGTTCACCCAAATCACAACCCGATTTCATAGGCTTCAAATACCGCACCCTGAAATCTATTCGAAACCAGTCGTCTAATATAACTCTTCACAATGAGCAGAAGAAACCTAGATCTAGCTAATTAAGCCCTCAATTACCCATGGATTGAGTACGCCAACCTCAATTATCCCAGCTTGAGTACGTCGTCAAACTTGCAAGTTTGAAATACAACTAACCCAAAACAAATAAAGAAAAAAGAACAATCTTACAGTCCTTTATCAAACCGTTCTTCAAATCAATGTAGATGAAGATTTGTGAAAAAACGTTGTGGCGTTGGTGGTGTTTTCTCTCCGAACAAAACTTCAATGAAAAGTGCATCAAGAAGAAGTTGAATGAGGCTCTCACAAACCCTACTAAACTCTCTTCTTTTTTGTACAATTGCCTCTTCCTTATTGTTATTATTCTCTTTCTCAATTCCCCTTTAAATGGACCTTGTCACCTTGATAGCATAGAAAAGAGATCATTTAATCAGAATTTCAATAGGAAATCAAATCAATCATCAAAAGGCTGAGATTAAATCTTGAAATCTTCTCAAAACTGCTAAATCGCATCTTAACCATTGATGGTGGGATATAATAATTGATGGTCCGTTGATGATTGTATGGTGAATATTTGATTTCCCGAAAACGGGGAGTGTTCGTTTGTATTAATAAGAAGGCTTATTACAAACTAACAAATCAAATGATTACAACAGAAGCAGAGGGAAAGCCCTCTTTGTTTTGTGTGGGGACTTTAGGTGGCTACAGGATGCTTCGCTCGATGCTCGTGTCGAGTCTGCTTCCCTTGGACCGTTCGAATGAGGTTGCTGGGGAGCTTCAGTACGCAGTAGAAGCTCGGGTTAATAGAGTTCGGGTCTGCTTAGTTCGTCGGCGATCGGAGCTCGGAACTAGGCGGTGGTGCTGTAATGCAAGGATCTGCTAACAGCTTGGTCTCAACTCTTTTCTCTAAGTTTGCGACCTCTCCTCCAGTGTGCTGGAAGGGGCTTTTACTCCTCCTTGAATTGTGGGATGTGACCACATCTTCTTCAGAGACGTCTAGCTGCTCCTCGATACCATGAATGGTCATTCCAGGGATTGTGCTTTATGTCCTGTCACCTACGATGGGAAGGCCCATCCTTGTATATGAGGCAACGGCCGTCTGCTATCCGAGTGGACCTGACCAGCATTAATGAACCGCATTTATGAGTTCGTAGAGTGATGAGGCGTCTGTCCGATCACTCGTACTGTGCGTGACCGCCCGACGTGCTTTGAGCACGGTGCTTTTTCCTTTCCGGTCAGGAGAGGCGGCGAAGTAGGTGCACAGTACTCGAGCGGGTCTAGCCAACGCACGTGGGGTAGTGGATACCCAGCTGTACTGACGGTCTTGAGATTGCTGGCGGATTCGACCCTGAACTCGGGCAGGCGAGTTGGGTGAAGGGCGAACTTCCGCCATCCTGATCGATCTCCACTCGTGCTGGCGAGCCGACCGTCAGGCGAACCTAGAATCGAGCATATCTGACGTCTACGCGACTTAGGCCCGTGCCAGAGAGTTGAGCGTGCGAGCTCTCCTCGTAGGCGAATTTCCCGTAAGCCTATAGAGGTATTTTTTACCGTCTACAATGATCATCGATGAATGGCTATAGTCCATCGATTGTGCAAATTCTGGTTTCTGTATTTCTCTGATTGTTGATTGTACTCCGTCAATGGTCATTGTGATAATTGATGGTTGACTGTAGACCATCAATGTTTCGATTTATGGTCTCTGTTTCTCCGGCTCTTTCGTGTAGTCGATTGATGACTTGACGTGATCATCGATGGGGCCTATTGACCCTCAGTGGTTCAAAGGCTAAAATCAACATTCGTGTTGATTTTTGCATCATTTTGAACCGCAACTTGCTCGTAGCTGTTTATACATTAAATATATCATCTCACAAGCATATCAGTAGCAAATGAGAGTTTGTTATTAATCAAATAAGAGATATTGCACGAACAATGTTCTACACGAGCAATGTTCTAACATTTATTTTATGCGAAAAAATTATGATTATTTTGCTTTAGGAAACAAATTATTGGTCATTTCACCCAAAAAAAAAATTTAGCAGAAGTTACGTCAAAGGAGCAACTTTTTTCACCTTGTTTTCTTCCATTTTAAATTAAAAAAATTCCGTGCTGGTATATCAACGCTAAATTATGTAATAAAATAATTTTTTTTTCATTATTCTAAGGAACGTTAAAGTCAATTCGTTAGTTCAGTGGTAATTTGAATGAAAAATCAAACTTTGTGTTATTCCCCAAAATATCAGGGAATGAGGTCTTGAATTGCTCTGATACCGACGACAAATACATATATACGAGTAACCAAGAAGGAACAACAAAAATCAACCTCTAGCGAATCTTTCACATAATAATAACAAAAATGTAGGGGTGACGATTACGTAGGTCTGTGCCAACCCTGGGCCAGCCATGTTGCTAGTGGGGGCCTGATATAGGTCGGGTCGACCTGGACCAACCTTGAGGCTGAGTCAGGCCGAGGTCCGGGTGTCCGGGATGGGAGCATAACCTAACCCAGCCCATTAGAGTCGGGCGGCGCTAGCTAATACAGCCCACTGTTTTTCTTTTCTTTTTTATTTTTCTTATTCTTATTCTTTTGACTATGTTTTTAAAAACTTGATAACTTTTGGGATGTTATTGTTTTCTGGGGAAGATTTTGAACTTGGCATGACACCAATTGTTTGCTTGAAAAACATACACATTTGACTTCGAACCTTTACTAGTTACTAAGATATCAATAATTGAGTCTACAAAATGAAAAAAACATCACTAATTAGGATTTACAAAAATAAAAATGATCCTTCAATTCACCATTATGCTGATCAGATGGAACTTTCAGATATCTCCATCCACACAGAATCACACTATCTCACCACAAAAAAACTACTTACAAGTCTACATACAAAAGCAAAACAAATCCTCGGTAGCTTCTACACAAATTCATTTCCGGGCGACGCACTAAAAACACCGGGTCGGTCCTTAACAACCGCCACTTCCGGCAGCGCTGCTACTTTTCCGGCGAGGTTTCGCCTCTCCAAGCATCGACACGACATCCCTCATCGTTGGCCGGTCCTTCGGTAGCTTCGCTGTGCACAGCACGGCGATCCGAAGGACGAGCACCATCTCCTCCTGTGTATGTTTTGTTTGCCCGCCGGTGCTCAGGTCCAATACTCCCTCCACCCCTCTGTTGTCCCTCAACTTATCTCGTACCCATCCTACTATATCCTGGCTCTCGCCGTATTCTGGCTCTACCGGCCTCCTCCCTGTCACGAGCTCCATTAACACGACTCCGAAGCTGTAGATATCGCTCTTTTGGTCGACCTTCAACGTGTACCCATATTCTGCAATTGACACACACGGTTGGTCACGTTACATGTTTGAGATATCCATTTGCTTTCGTTAATCGGGTAAAGATCAATTTAATTACCTGGCGCAATGTATCCGTACGATCCTGCAACCATCGACACAGTCTCGTTCTTCCTCATCATCATCCTCGCAAGACCAAAGTCTGCGATGCGAGCTTCCAAATTCCCGTCGAGGAGAATGTTGTTCGACTTGATGTCCCGGTGGATTATGGGCGGGTGGCAGTTGGAGGTAAGCGAGCCCCTGGGGCTAATGCCGGCGCTGCCACATTTACGTAGGCTTACCCAATAATCAGGATTCGGTGTGCCCTGGTGGGCCCGTGGAACGCCTCCAGAGGTCTGCCGTTGGGCATGTACTATATAAAATCATCGTATTCGTGTCATTGTGGAGGTAGCCGAGTAGCCGGACAATGTTGCGGTGCCGGAGTTTTCCGAGCACGGTCACTTCTCCGGCGATGTCGGAATCGACGTCGACTATGTTGCTGTTATCGCTCCGCCAGAGCTTCTTGACTGCCACTGTTGTGTGCGGTCGCTGGAGCTCGGCCTTGTACACAATCCCCGTTGCACCCATTCCGATTACATTGGACTCCTTGATGCAGGATAGTATGTCACCGCTGGCGAAATTCAGGCGCTGGAATGCGTGGAGCCGCATGGCCAGATCCGCTGCTGGTCTCTTCATCGCATCCATCGCAGAAGCATCCGTCAACGGTGTACCATCTTCTGTACAGTTGGTGAACAGCGAAGACGGCAATGGCAATGGCAAGCACCGCGGCGACTCCCGTCGCCCATCCAGCAACGATGTGTTTGATATGGTCACTCCGTCGACTCGTCATTATTGAGTGGCTGATTGCGGACCCGCACGGAGGTAGCACGCCTCCGCAGAGGCCTGGATTGCCCGCAAGCTCGTTCGGGTTCATAGTCTTCAGTATTCCATTGGTCGGAACCGGGCCTGAGAGATTGTTGTTCGCCAAGTTCAGCATCTCGAGCGCCGGTGAATTTCCGAAACTCTCAGGGAAGGATCCTGTGAGGAGATTATTAGATAGATCGATAATTGCGAGCGTAGACATCATTGCAATTGCAGTGGGGATTTCTCCGGTGAGCCTGTTGCTTCCAAGGTTCAGCTTCACGAGCTTCTCGCAAGAAGCGAGGCTCGCTGGAATTCTCCCGGAGAGGTTGTTATTGGAAAGATCAATCTCAGAGAGCGAAGGGAAGTCTTGGAAATGGGCGGGGATATCTCCGGTGAGCTCATTATCGGATGCCATGAAGCTCTGAAGAGTTGGGATCGATAGTATGTTTGAGGGAAGAGAGCTCTTGAGATGGTTGTGGGAGAGATCGATGAACGATAGGGATAACGACGAGGCGAGATCTGCTGGTATTTCCCCATCGAGCTCGTTACTCGCCAATTCTAGCCTCTGTAGCTTTGCCAACTTGCCAAGCCCATTTGGAACTGTGCCATTGAACTTATTGTTCTGCATTCGAACTCGTACCAAGGAACTGCATGACGAGAGACTCATTGGTATCGGACCTGAAAATTGGTTGTTGAAGAGAATGAGCTTGGTCAGGTTATTCCCATTGCACAACCCATCAGGGATCTCACCCGATAGTGAATTCGACGAAACGTCGAGCCACTGGAGCGATGAGTTCCGCCCAAGATTCGCTGGCAAGGGACCCGTCAGTGAATTGTTCCACAGCTCAAGCACCTGCAGCTTCGTCAGCTCGTCAATGCCAGCAGGGATTGAGCCTGTCAACCGATTGCACATCAAATTCAGCAGCTGTAATTTGCTCAGTCGAGCGATCTCAATCGGTATTGCGCCCGAGATTTGGTTGTCGGAGAGATCAAGCAGTACCAACGCGGACATATTTCCGATCTCCTTCGGAATGTCACCCTTGAGATTGTTCTTGTAGAGATAAACAGTGGTGAGAGATTGCATCTTACCGAGCTCCATAGGAATCTCACCATCGAGATTTCCAACTGCAATATCGAGATACCGAAGACTCGACAGATTTCCAAATTCCGGAGGAATCCCCCCTTCAAAACCATTGTACCCAATTATGAGCTTCTCCAGCATTGAGAGCTCGCCGAGCTCTGCAGGGATTTTTCCGGTAAGATTATTTCCAGAGACGCCCAAGAACTTGAGATTCCGCAGGTTTCTATAGGACTTTGGTATCGATCCTTCAAAGAAACTTCCCCTGAGGTCCAAGATCTCGAGGGAAGTCAGGTTACCAAAATCCTCAGGCAATAGCCCTACGAAATTATTACCCGAGGTATTAACGACGGTGAGCCCTGTTGCAGTGAAACCAGTAGGAAACAGACCTGCGAATGAGTTGAGGCTCACGTCGAGCACCTCGAGTTTCTGAAGTTTCGTCAGTGATCTCGGTAGAGAACTCGAGAATGCGTTGCAGCAGAGATTGAGGCGAGCGAGTGACGTCAAGTGTTGTATTTCTTCAGAGATTTTCCCGCTGAGATTCATTCGTGACAAGCCGAGGCCCTCAACGGAGCCTGTTGAGTCGCACTGCACGCCATTCCATCGGCAATATGGTGTATTCTTCGTCCAGTTGCTCAGCAGACCGAGAGGATCGATGAGACCGGATTTGATTGATAACAACGCCGAGGTCTCAGCATTGTCAACAGCGACGACCGCGACAACGAGGATACAAAAACTGAAGAAGGTTGGGAGCAATTTGAGGTGCATATTTGCTTCTACTCTCAGAGTCTATCCTTCTCTACATTTGTGCCATTACTGAGAAAAGAAAAAAAAATGGTCTGCACCTGTTCAGAGACTGAAGAGAGAGCGATTATGTTGTGATTGGAGAAGGGCATTAAAAAAAAAGGTTAATATATTAATTGTTTTTGTTTAAGAATTTGATGGTTCCCGAGGAGTGTTTAGTGTTTGCGGACGTACGTTGAGAGTTTAAAG